TACGTAGGGTCACTATGAGTCGCAAGTGACTTAACAGCACATAACAACAACAATAGCCTAACTACCCCCTCCAAATCACTTGGTAATCTAGATACACATATACCCACATACCCACATACCCACACACACCCCAGCTGATAACCTAGATATCAGTGTTCCCTAGAAATGTAAATTTTAAAATCAAATACAGCAAACAAAAAAACCCCAAAAAACCTCATTAAATAGAGATGCCTTGAAGCATAGTCAGAGCTGTAGGGACTGTAGGACATTTGCATGTGGCATCTACCATTTCACACTGCTGTTATAAGATAAGATAGACATGGGGGAGTTGGGAAACGAATAGGAGAAGAGTGGCTTCATGATGAACACTGCATTAGAATAGATGATGGAAAGAACTGTCTAAAATATTATATAACAATTATAAAATTATATGCATGATAACAATCTGGAACAAGGGGTGCATTGCAGGGTGGGCTAGGGAAGGGAAGGGAGGGAGGAAGAAAATGTGCAACAATAAAAAATATTTTAAAAACAATTTTTTTATTTAATTTAATGGAAGTTTACAGAGATTTTGGGTTTCCAGTCATTCATTGTTTTACTTTTCTCCATGCCCACCCCCTCCCACCCAATTCACTTTTCTCCTTGATGAGTAAAGGAAAAACTCTTTCATTGCTATGCAATCCTTCCCCCCAAGTCCACTGCACTGTGCAGCCTTCATTCTGGACTCCTGTCATGATAATAATACCTAATCATACCCCCAAGTCCACTGTACTGTGCAGCCTTCATTCTGGACTCCTGTCATGATAATAATACCTAATCATATATCCCTTTTAAACAGTTCTCTCCCTCATCTGTTTCAATGCAGTATACATCATTCCTCCCCTCCTTTTCTATCTTCCCTCAACCCCAATGTCAGTCCTGTTTTACAATAGTGACCCTATGCAATATTTGTCCTTTTGTGACTGAGATATTTCACTCAGCATAATGTCGTCTAGGGTCTCCACTTAGCATAGTATTTAATGAGTTCCTTGTTTCTCAATGCCGCATAGTATTCCATTTTTTTAATATACCAGAGCTTCTCTATCCATTCATTTGTTGATGGGC